GCCAGAGCCGGCGGCAGACAGCCTGACAGCCAGGGCCGAGCGGAAGTCCTTTCTCCAAGGCTCCCCAACACGCGTGCTGCTTTGGCTGTGAAGGGCAGAAGTTTTAGTTTGGGGTTTTTGTTTTTTGGGGGGTGGGGGGTGGCCAGAAGAAAAAGAGACGAGTTGCTTTTGATCAAAATAGCCAGCCAGCCCTGGCTCCAGCCCAAACACAGATTATGGGAAACACCCCGGTCTGAGCCAGCACGAAGCCTTTCCCATGGCTCCGGCCAGCGGCAGTTACGCCCCCTCCCTGGCGCTCTGCCCGCAGCCAGGGCAGGCTGGAGTCGGAGTCCCCGGACCNCCGTACCCGCCTGGCGAGGACCCCAGCCCCCCGAGTCCTGTGCTGCCTCCCTGAGGGCCGGGCTGGAGGGAAACGACCCCTTGCCCTTTTCTCTGCAATTTGGCTCCTGCTAAACCAATCTTCCCTCATTTAGTGACAAAAGTTATTTTTCCTGTGAGAATCCCGACTCTTGCTTCCTAATCAGTGTGATCGCCAGTGATTCGCGGACTGGCGGGCTGTGTACGTTTAGATACACTACAGCTGCCCACGCAACAGCTCCGTTCAAGCCCTCATTTCAGGGCAGGAGGAAATGTGGTTAGGCTGTGTCCTTAGGGAGAAAAGACAGTCTGGGACCGCGAATCCTCGGGCACAGCCTGGCTCGCCCCTCCCCGGTTCTCCTCAGAGCCGCGTCAGAAGATTCTCCCAGGGTTCCCTTCACGTGGGAGACAACAGCGGTTGCCTTGGAAACTGCCGGGGGTGGCATCACGCGATGCTGCTCGCCCTGCCTGGTGGCAGACGTCCAGCCCTGACTCACTGAAGTCCTGTTTGGTCAGGGCTTTGCTCGGGGTGCGCTGACTGGGGCAGGGCACGGGGAACAGGAGAAGGTGGATGCCCACAGCAGGGCACAGATCTTTCCCGCTGACAGTGACTCAAGCAGGGACAAGAAATCACTGATGAACTTAAGAATTAACATCCTCGGTGGGATGTGGGTGACCAGAGAGGCTCCTAAACACAGTGTTCGCGTACCCATGTGAACACAATCCCTCAGCTGATGCAAGACATTCAAGATGCCCTGGCCGGGTGGCGCCTCTGGTTGGAGCACCGGCCTGTGCACCAGAAAGGCCGAGAGTTTAATTCCCGGGCAGGGCACATGCCTAGGTTTGGGTTGGATCCCCAGTCGGGGTGCATACAGGAGGCAACCGATCGATGCTTCTCTCACATCAATGTCTCCCTCTCCCTTTCTCTCTAAAAATCAATAAAAACATATCATGGGGTGAAGATTAAAAAGAAAGAATATCTTCAAGACGTGCCACCGGCCAGCCACCTACAACTGCCAACTTGCTGGTGAATGTCGGCGGCGCCTCCACTGAAGCCTCCTTTGTGGTCTGGGCTCTCCAAGGGCAGAATATCGTCAATGCCCATTAGATTACGGAGGCTCTGTGAGCCTGACTCCCTGTTGATCAAGTTTTCCATTTCTAATCAATGCTTAATTAAAGCAGAACACTTCTGGTTGCTGTCAGTAGATTAATCGACAGAGGAGCTTTAGCAGGTCATGAGTCCAGCCGGCTCATTGTAAGGATGAGGCTGGGCTGGGGGATGGGGGCCAAGGGCATGAACTGCCTGGCTGGTCAGAGGGGCAGCAGGGCCTGGGGTCCCAATCTGGCCGAGCTCAAAGCATCACCTCTGCCTCTATACTCTGCCAAGTTAAATTATTTAATACACAAGTATATTTTTTTAATCTTCTGTTTTAGTGAATGGAAGGCTGACTTAAAATGTAATTGTCTGAATATACAGTATTCCCCTATGGGTTTCACTTCTCACGGTTTCAGGCTCCCACAGTCAACCACAGTCAGAAAATATTAAATGGGCAACTCCAGAAATAAGCAATTCGTAAGTTTTATAGCACACACTATTCTGAGCAGCGTGATGAAAACACACCACCCAGCTCCATCCCACCCGGGGTCGTGGATGGTCCCTCTGCCCAGCGTCCCCGAGCTGTGTCTGCTCCCTAACCAGTTATCGGATGGAGTGTCAGGCCATCGCAGGACTTGTGCTCAAGTGACCCGTCTCACCTAACAATGCCCTCAACATGCATGAGTGGCGATGTGGCAACTCGGACAAGTCAGAGAAGCCTGGAAGCACCTCCTGTAAGTGAAAAGGTCTGTATATTTGGGAGGGGGGGGAGCAGGACACAGGGGTGGGCAAAATCAAGTCTACAGTTACGAGCACACGAAAGTTTTATTAAATATTGCATTATTTTCCATACCAACAACTGTAAACCTCCTTTTGCCTGCCCGTTTATGGGGTTTGGTTTCAGGCACCCACTCAAGTCTCAGAACATGTCCCTGGGTGGTAAGGGGACACTACTGTACTTCGAGGTTCCAGAAATATTTTCCTTAGAATGAAACGCTTCCGATGCCTCATCTCATAGACAGCGGTTCCTTAATCTTTCTAAAGGAATGAATGGCACTAATACAGGTGGGCATTCCCGGGAAGTTGTCTCCTGAGTCAGACGTGGACATGCTCAGGCAGCTGGCACCTCACCTGGCGGTTTCCCACCAGCTGCAGACACAGCACTGAGCCCTCACAAAGCCCTGGGGGAGGGGGCTGAGTAACGAGCCCTCTCGGCAGCTCGAGAAACGGCTGGAAGAGAAACATGACTAGCTCCCAGTGTAAACTGACCGCGCGGGGAGCACGCTGGTGGGTGTCGGTACACACCGCTGGATAACCGGAGCTGCTGGCAGCCCAGTGGGGGTGCGGAGGCCCTGGCTGGTGCTTAGCTAAGGAGCCTGATTAGGAGAGCGCCCAGGGGGGCAAACTACAGGCTGAGACAAGGCACCTGCCTGCGCTCCCCACTGCGGGCAGCAACAGGCGACACCACGAATGTTTATGTGGTGAAATGCGCCCCCTTGTGGTCTGACTGGGAAAACAACGCAACTCAGAGCGGAGAGGAACACCAGCCTAACAGGACAGGGGTCCAACAGGCTCTGAAAAATGACTGGTGTTCAGAGACATCAATAATCGGGACAGCACAGATGAACCTAGGAAGGTGCGCTGTCACTGTCCTCTAATCAGTGCCTCTCAAATCTGACCGTGCACAGGGACCAGCTGAAGGTCTTGGTGAACTCGGGTTCTGGTCCACAGCTTGTGGAGCAGGGCCTGGGGGTCTGCGTTTCTACCCAGTTCACAGTGCCCACCTGTGAGTCATGAGGGGCCGAAGGAAGGGCCCTTCCCTGTGGGTGGGCCAGGGCTGCTCCCTCAGATCCCCATCCTGGGGTTACAGTTCCTTCCCACACCCAGCCAGAGAACCCGGATAACCACTCTTTTGCTTCAAGCTCAAGGGCCTGTGCCCACCCCCGGCCCCAGGAAAGAGTTCAGAAGGCAAGGCCCGCCTCCCTGACCCCCTCCTAGCCTATCGAGGACCTTCTCATCCTGGAGATAACTATTTAGGATCGCCACAGGGAGCCTCGTGGTTTTCCTTCACCGCTTTCCTGTCCACTAAAATCGGCAGGTTGTCTCCAACGCCGTTTACTTCCGAGCATCCCGTGATGTGCACACCTGAAAGGGGCACGTGTCTGTCCACGAGGCCTCTCACCCACGCCACCAGCACGCACTCTCATTCCACATCTTGTTTCGAGCGGTGGAGCTGCATTTACAGCCCCCACTTCAAGAACTCAAATTGTATTTGGTTAGGAAAAATTGTTAAATACAAAATATTTTTAACTTGATGTGGGAGGAGAAAGAACAGAGAAGACGGTAGAATGATCACAGGTGGGTAATTACCCATGTAAACAAGTTCAGGTTGGTAACTTTCCCCTGAAGTCCTATTTACATGGCTAACCCTGATTTCTAACCCCACACCGCACTGCATTTCAGGGTAGTTTTTTTTTATCAGAATCTGTCGACTCTGAACATGTCGATTCAATTCAAAAATGACTGCAAAGGGAAGTTCTTGGCTTGCTCACAGGCTCGGAACTGCCCAGCTATTTAGCTTACTCAGGAAGAAGAAAAAAGATTTATGGACACCGGCTACTGATACACTATCGGGTACAGCCAGACCCGGAGGGACACGCCGACGTGTACCGTGCAGTTAGGCCTACGAGGGCCAACCCTGTCCTGAACAGACACACTTCTTGTCTTTATTCCCTGAGCGCGGCCTAGCAATGGTTTCCACAGCACCTCCCCTGCACCAGGTATTACACGCGCTCCAGAGGTGCCGTCCAGTGCACGGCAGGGCCCGGCACGAGCGGCTCACCTGAGCGGCTCACCTGGTTGGCGTGCACCGAAAGGTGGCCGGTGCCATTCCGTCAGGGCACATACCAGGGTGGTGTGCAGGTTTGATCCCCGGTTGGGGCATGTACGGGAGACAACCGATCGATGTTTCTCTCTCACATCCATGACTCCGTCTGTCTCTCTCCCTTCCTCTCTAAGCATGTTATCAGGTGAGGATTTAAAATAAGATAAAATAAAAACAAAGTATACAGGAGGATATGTGTAGGTGATATGCAAATACTACCCCATGCTACGTAAGGGACTTGAGCACCCAAGGCTTTGGTATCCAAGGGGGTCCTGGAACCAACCCCTTGTGGATATCGAGCGACGATTACCGCACTTTCCTTTCCTCCAGAAGAGGTACAGAATGTGGCTGTGATCACTAAGGTGTTAAGATACAGCTTTTCGCCCTGGCCGCAATTCAGTTTCATAAAAATCAATCTTAAAGCACCGTTTTAATCTTTACTCTCTTCCTGATTATAAAATAACACGTGCTCACTGCAAGTCTCACATTACAGAAAACTGGGAAACTGAACACTTCCCAGAATCCCACCCCCAGAGATAACTCACTACTTCTCTCTTTGGTAAATATTCTTACAGATTTGGGGACAAACAGTAGTCAGTAAACAGGAACAAGTGGAATTCTCTTATTACTAGAACAGTCCTGACAGATAATCCAGCTGACCGATTCCTCCAGCGAACAGCCTGTGTTTATTTCAAAGAAGACAACCACACAGTGGGCCCAAAACCGCCAAGATCCTCTTACCATTCAACATTAAATATTACTCGAAGTATTAAAGATGGAAGAAAGTTAAAAAAGTACAAAATGAAGAATGAACTTGATACAAAGGAGAAAACAGTTCAGAAAATCAGGGCAGTTTCTTACCAGAATATAAACTCCTAAGTTCTATTTCCAGCAACTATCATGAAATGGGTTCAAAATTCAAACTTGGAAAATAGTCGTCTCTACCATGAAATACAGCCACAAAAGTAATTCTACAATTATTCTCATCTGATCAATACTCGAGTTTGCAACGCGCACAGAGTCCAGGTGAGGTAAATTGTAACAAGAACTGCTACACATAAAAATTACCCATTGGCAGGGAAGTCAAGGGTGGGAGACTGGGAACAGATGTCAGCTTGGGAACTGGCGAAGGAAAACTTTGTTTCCATGTCCCGCAGCTTCGTTTGTAATATTTTCAAAACATCTTCCATCTATTGCAGTGAAAAAAGATTATTAAAAAATACACATGATTATGATTAAAATCATACATGGTTAAGTGATTAAAATATACATCATCAATACAATTTCTGAATATATTACCCATTATGCAAGATATTCGATGTGTATTTAATGAAATTACTTAAACTAAATTTTATTTAAATAACACACGTCTATTAACAGTAGTTCTCAGCCTGATCGGCAGCCTTTTTATTCAGTCATCACTGTCCTGCCTCTCCAGCCATGAGCAGATGTTAACACGCAAAGCAAGACTGCTTACGCCATGAGAACGGGATCAAAAGAACCAGTGATGTGACTTAAACATATGCTTCTACTAGTGTAATAGTTTCAGAATATATACTACTTTGATTTGGCATGAAATGGCTTTATTACTTTTTTTTTGATAGAGCTTTAGCTTAATTTGTAGTTTGTCCCCAAAACTCAACCTTACTGAAGACTGAGACAGACCAAGTGCGCCAGGGTGACAGTCCCCAAGCAAAGCAGATGCCACATGAGGATGCCTCACCGACAGGAGTCACACAGAGAGAGAGCAGAGCAAAATTACCTGCTTCAGAGAGTTTTCTATTTCAGTTCTGCTCTCAAGATTGAAAACCTCCTTATCGTCTGACACAATCTTCTTTTCAGAGGACCCTAAAACATAACTGGACAGTACAAAGTTAGATATAAAAAGTGAGCAAATATTAAATTTGTGTCTGTTAATAATATTAAACTTCTAAGTATATTACACTGTATGTCAGTACCAAGTAAACACATAAAACAACTATTTTTGTTAACAGCTCCCTATGTAGAAAGCTGTGCTACATATAATCGTGTCTTCCTCCATAAAGCTTTGTCCAGATATTCCTACACATTTCCCAATGCTATAATCTTTTGTTATTGGGAATAAGCTGGGTGGCAAAACATCAACACTCATAGTTCAAAATTTTATTTTAAAGTTTCCTTATATAAGATTTCGGGAACATGTATACTTTCACAGTTGACCTTTAGTAAATAATAATTTGTAGAGTCAACTCTTGATTACCCAAACTTGGGCAACTTCAACAGTCATCCTCCAAACTGCATTTTGCTGGACTCTCTGGGGTTGAGATGCTGTGGTTCAGAAAATACTGATGAGCAGAAAGACTGGCCTGGCCATGGGAGGAGAGCAGGCCAGCGCTGGGAACTGAATAATATCTAAACAGTATTTCTCAAAGGAAAACCGGACTCGGTTGCATTTATTTAGTAGATTCTGTTATCACGTAGCAACTTCACTATGTGACTTCTTTTATCAACTTAGAACAGTCTTGTCTTGAAAACCCTGCTGATTGTATATCTAAAAATAGCATTAGAGGCAAAACTGCAGAAGGCAATTAACAACCTGTTTAGAGGGAAAAGATAAGATGCAGTGGAAAAATTAAACAGCACTGAGTAATTTATGAAATGATAAATAAACATCACAGAGGGTGTCCATTCCTGGTTCCACTCCTGGTGTCCAAACCAGGTTCCTCAGCATTAAAATTCTGCCCAAGAACAGCTTCTGTGCCGTGATCCCCAGTGGCAAAACCCTCCACTCCTATTCCTTTGCACAGATGCCTCACTTTTTAAATTCTGTATCAACCCCACCACATGAGAGTTCATATCTTTTAGTTTCCTCTCCTCACTTAATTTCCACAAATCTCTGTCAAAGTCTAGAGGAGACTAGGGAGCACCTGCTCTGCTGGGCCTTCTATTCACATATGAAACCAAAGCAGATCTGCGCCCCCCAGACAGACCTGCTTTACAACAATGAACCGCACGTGTAGTGTTCTGTCTTTTGTGTGAGAGCTGCAAAAAGTTTGGTTTTAAAATTTTGATCCAAACCTTTCCAGTTTCAAAGAAGGTGGAAAAACTGCACTTATCAAACAATAGTTAGAAGAGAAATCATAATTATAATAAAAACAGGGATTTAATTATTTTGAGAGAAAAATCTAAGAACTACAACAGGTGACAAAACCCTTGAGTAATCAAGGTAGAAGCACGTTCTTTTTTCACAGGCAGTTCTTCTGTCCTGATTCGCAGGGATGTTAGGCATCTTTAAAGCCTTGAGGGTTACACCTTTTCCAGGTTAAGTGGAAATACAGTGGGGTCAATTGATTTACCTAATTCTGTGTTTCCTGTAAAACACGGCCAATGAATCGGAGGGGCATTAAGATGCCTGACCTCGTCACCAGACCCTAACCCTCCTTGCTGCCTAACCCCTTCTAGAGAGGTCGGCGGGCGAAGGCACCTCCCTGCGTCTCTTGAAAGAGCGGGAGGCAGTTCTTTGCTGAACTCAAGACAGAAGCAGCTGGACTGTGCATCTCTACTTTCCCAGAACACCGAAGGGACTTCTTTACTAACCAGTCTGAAATTGCTACTTCTTCAGAATATTCTAGGAGACCAAGAACTGAGGAGGAAATAAAGTGGACAAAATGTACTGATCCACACAACTGCTTTAGAAAATCCTATTAAATTAAATTTGATTTTTAAGAACCACCAAACATATTTTTATTCTGAAAAATGTTCTCACAGTGTTTTCTCCTTACAATGCAAATGTCTGACCTTCCCAATCTCTGGCGTCACTGTCAGAAATTATTACTTGAAAACACATACTAACTGAAGTGTGGATTTAGTTTTGCTGTTTTCCTACCAACTTCTCTGCAAACTTTCTGAGAACTATTATGAGGTGCTTGTTTATACGTCAAAATTACCTCTCAGTGGCTTCCACCTTGAGGCAGAACAAGTCCCTCTTGTAATCCAGGTGGTTGGGGGTGCACCTGTAGACGTAGCCGAGGGCGAGCGAGCATCCCGCGCAGTGCAGAGTCTCCAGGATGCTGCGCAGAGAGACCCACTGCTTTAGCAAACAGAGCAGCAACTTGTTACAGCAAAGCCGCACTGTTAACACCCACCGGCTGAAACGATGACTTGCTAAAGTCTGTAATTCCCACCCTACTAAACCACACGCATAAAGACGGGGAATGTTTATATGAGGGATGCAGACGGTCACTCCCAGGACACACTGCCGTAAGCACCTAGCGACAAGGGGCACATATGAGTGACAACAGAGGATACTAAGGTGGTGTTTAGGGGAATGTAAATGCCTCAATCTGGTAAACTTTTTTAAAACATATTTTTATTGATTTCAGAGAGGAAGGGAGGAGGAGAGAGAGAAACATCAATGATGAGAGAGTTAATTATCAGCTGCTTCCTGCACACTCCCTTCTGGGGATCGAGCCCACAACCCAGGCATGTGCCCTGACCGGGAATCGAAAGGTGACCTCCTGGTTCATAGGTTGATGCTCAACCACTGAGCCAAGCCGGCTGGGCTCAATCTGATAATTTAAAAAAATTATCTAGTTATGCCCTGGCTGATATGGCTCAATTGGTTGGGCCTCGTCCTGTGTACTGAAAGGTTCGATTCCCGGTCAGGGCACATNAGGTGACCTCCTGGTTCATAGGTTGATGCTCAACCACTGAGCCAAGCCAGCTGGGCTCAATCTGATAATTTAAAAAAATTATCTAGTTATGCCCTGGCTGATATGGCTCAATTGGTTGGGCCTCGTCCTGTGTACTGAAAGGTTCGATTCCCGGTCAGGGCACATGACCAGGTTTCCGGCTCAGTCCCCAGTGGGGGGCATGCAGGGGGCAGCCGATCAATGTTTTGATATCATATCAATGTTTCTCTCTCTCTTCCTCCTCTCTCCCTCCCCCTCTCCCTTCCTCTCTCTAAAATCCAATAAAAAAAACTTTAAAAATAAATTAAAATAAAAACTACCTAGTTATAGCAAATGATACATTTATGGCAGTAATATAAAAATTCTGAGTCAATAAATGAAAAATATTAAGTACATGACACATGGCTGGTACGCGGATTATGACAACAACGGTGAGGGTAATATCAAAACAACCAGAACGGGGAAGCCCAGAAGAAATAGCACTTTGCAGGAAACGAGGAGACTCAGGCACCATCCTGGCTCCTACAACTAAGTGGTCCTGTGGCCTCAGCTAAGTCCTGACCTCCCAGGCCTTGCCTCCTTCACCTGCAAAATGAGAGACAGTCCAAGGCTGGGTTTCCCAGTGCCAATCACCTGCAGGCCAGAGCACTTTCTGTTACATCCACAGACTGCCTGTATCAGGAGTCTCATTCTCCTTAAATAGAGTAATTTTTAATTGGAATATACTTTGACTATGACAGTCTAGCATTATAAACATGAAAAACCAGTATTTTAAAATACACTTAGCCTGGCCGGGCGTGGCTCAGTGGTTGAGCGTCGACCTGGGATCCAGGCGATCGGGGTTCGATTCCCGGTCAGGGCACATGCCCGGGTTGCGGGCTCGATCAATGACTCTCTCATCATTGATGTTTCTGTCTCTCTCTCTCCCTCTCCCTTCCTCTCTCTGAAATCAATAAAGATATATTTAAAATACATATATATATATTTATATAAAATACACTTAAAATATATATGATTATTTATTTGCTTCATTGTTTGTGCGCCACCTGAAGTTATTCCATACACGCCAGTAGGACATGCTCCGGGCAACAATGACTAAGGCGGAGCTGCCCGTTTGGTTTGCTGAGGATGCCACTCACAGCAGATGGAGGCAATGTGCCGAGGGGACGATCCCGGCAGCCTGTGGAGTGGCCCTGTGCTGCCATCGCTGGCCCCGTGTAGCCCTGTCTATTTACTGCAGCAGCCGTGTGCGTGTATGGACGTGACCATGTGATATTAGCACTTTCTACAGGTGCCAACACATGAAAAAGGTGGGGGCACTGGTCTAAGGCACCCTCTGGCCCTGAGAGCTCAAGATACAGACACTTTCTTTTTCTATATTTATTTTCAATTTTCTCCAGCACCATGCCCACCGACCTCAAAAGGGGATGTCATAATGTGCCTTTAGAAACTTACAGACTCTTCCACCTCAGTGCCTAAAGGAGGCCACCACCACCCCAGAACCGGTAAGTTACAAGGACTAATTTTATACTGATGACCAGGGAAAATGTTTTATCCCAAGTGCTCTTACTGGTAATGATCTTCTTGAACATTTTTATCTGAAAACTATCTCTCACATTCACACTCACATAGACGCGGCCTCACTCACCACCCGTCTTCATTTTCCCGTTTGGACAGTATCTGTTCCTCATCCACAGAAACATTGCAGGAGACGCCTGGAAAACAGGGTGCTGATTAGTGTGGTCGGTCAGAACTCGCAGGCAGACGCTGAAAGTGCTTCTCGTTCAACTTTTAGTTTAGAACTCAAAGCACCAGAAAAAATAGGAGCCCAAAGTATGTCTTTCTCATGCACACACACTCACACGCACACACTCACATGCACTAATATGGGAAAATATTCAGAATATATGTGTGGAATTTAAAAAGCATGCTTCACGTATAAATTATATAACCTCAAGTGTGTCTTTAAAATGTTACATGTTTAAATATGCTGATACACGCATGGAGCCTACTAGAGAAGTATAAATGAGAACAGGGTATGTTAACTCTGGGGCTGCAACAGGGTCAGGGGTAAGTCCTTCACTTTCACACCATCCAGCACTATTTGATTTCAGTAGATCAAAGGGTTAATCCAAATAAACTACTGGGGGAAACGTTCTTAGGCTTATGTTTGACAACTAAAAAGGCCTCAGCAATTACTGTTAATGAACTGATGTATCCTTACGGAAAACAGAAGGTATCAAAGTTTCAGGCAATGGTGGACACTGGTGTTCTCCTTTCTTCCCAATATTTTACTCCGGGAAACTTCAACTTGAAACCCACAAGCCCCAAAGAAAACAGCCATTTTTACACCAATTCAGAAAAAAATATACATAAACCACTCCCCTAAACAAATACGGTAAAAACAACAAAACAAGGGAAGGGCAGGAAAACACACAGGTCACCGGTGGGGCCAAGATTAAAAGCTTGGCCTCCCGCCCTCTAACTCTTCTACTGGACCCTCCTTCCTCTCCAATGCTCCTGGGGTTATTGGTGCTCTCACTGCAAGTTCCCTTCCTAATATTTTTCTATTGTTACTGACTTTTGGTGAGAGAGGGACAGACAGAAACACCAAGGGTGAGAGTCACATCATGGATGGGCTGCCTCCCAGACGCCCCCTACTGGGGACCCAGCCGGCAACCCCCGCAGGTGCCAGGACCAGGATTCGAACCGGCGACCTCCCGGTTCACGGGTCCACCCTCAACCGCTGAGCCGCACCTGCCGGGCGCAAGTTCCCTTTTTAAAAAAATTTTTGTAGCGTTGTGCTCTGTCTACTCTATGGTGGGAACACGAGGCTGTGAAGGCGGCGGCTGATAGAGCGGATAAGGCGTGATAAAATCGATCCTGACATCAGCCTGCAGGACGCAGGCAGCCGACGGGCTTCAATTCCCCAAATAAACCACGTGCAATATTATTTGCCACTGAACGGCCTGCTGATTGCTGTGGGGAGGGGCACAGAGCGGCCGCACCCCAAACGCTGGCAATTCGGTTGGTTATTTTTTTTTTTTTTT